GGGAGCGCGCGCCGCCGGGCGCCGAGTCGAGCACCGAGCCGCCCGCCTGCGAGCAAGCGAGCGTCGAGCGCATCGAGCTCGTAGGGGCGAGCTCCAGCGAGCCTGGTCTGCGCCGGCCTAGCTAGGGCTCTGCGAGCGTTTGGTCTTGCAAAGCTCGGGCTACCCAACAAAATAGGTTTTATCGCGTCTCGCAGCGCGGAGCGCCAGAGGCAGACTTGCTCAGCAGTGCACAGGTAGCTGGAGTGAGAAGCAGCACACTGCTCCAGTATCCTGATCAGTAGCGCCTGCTCTCCCTACAGCCGAAGTGATTCTTTCACGGCGTTTTTGCAGATTCTCTTGTGCAAGACTCAGAGGCGTGCTGATCCAAAGCGGGGGTGCTTGTTTGTAATTCAGCATTTTGATTTGGGTACTGGCCTGTGGGGTGAGGGAGAAGAACATATTTTTCCAACAATACACTAAAAAATAATTTGCACGCCTAATCACCCACATCTGTGCTTCCTAGACGATTTTCATTTGTAGGTTAACGACAGTTTCCAGAGACGCGGTCTCTCACGCACAGAAGGGAGTGGACTGGGTGAGAAAGTTCTGTCTTCGGTTTACAGACTTGCTGTGGAGCGTCCAAGTTCTGCCAGTGTGGGTGGATATCACAAGGTACAGCACTTACTTTTGTAGCACTAGTGTAATGGGCTGCTTAGTGACTGGTGAGGTGCCATCGCCGGAGGAGTCCATGCTGGACTTGGGGACCTCCTTACTACGGAGCACAAGTTGGGACAGACAGGTTGGCTTCAAGAGCTGTGAACCCAGTGCAACGGTTATAGACAGCTAAGATAGGTAGAAGTGTTCTAGGCAGTCAGACAGGTCGAGGCCCTCCAGGGAGTCAGTGCAGAGGATGAAAACACATCCCAGCGGTGGCTGGAGGTGCATCTGTTGAAGGCCAGGCCTCAAGATAAAGAGGGAATGACCAGGCCTTCATGACCCCCCACGGGAGAAGCAATATACTATGATTGGTATCACTTGGTCCAGTAAAGTCTAGATGGACATCAGTCGCCATGGTGGGTGAACAGGACTCCCTGATTCACCCTTTCCTAAAGAAGGTCCTTGTTCTCTCCGTGCACACTTGCTGCCTGACCTGCTTCGCCACTGGATCAGCATCACCTAAGCAGTTGTGCTTGTGATGTTGTTGGTTGATCACAGCTCTGATGCACATTGCACACACCTCGTGACTTTGCTGTATAAAACTGTCTTTGAGAAATGGGCTTGTTGGCAACCTACTTTCAGGTTCGCCCTAGCTCTATGCATAAAGTTTTCCCGCTCTCAACTTCTGCTGTTCCTTAGAATTCATTGTTTGATTTTTGAAGAACACAAACCGCACCTGACACCAAGCAGGTTGGGAGTTACGTTTATTTCCCCTATATCAAAGCTATGCAAGACCTAAGTCTGAGGATGTCACACAATGGCAGAACGCTTTCCTAGCATGTGTGAGGCCCTGCGTTCAGTCCTCAGTCACACATACATGAATAATAAGAGGATACTATGAATAATTCCACCATCTTTTTGACAACTGAGATAAAATGGACCAGTTCTTCGAAAACCACAAACTACCAGAAATAAATCACTTTTCTTACCCTTATAATTTTTAAGGAAATTGAATTTGCAATTTGCAAAATTTATTTTGCTTTTTTGAGACAGGGTCTTGCTATGAAGTTCAGGCTGACCTTGAACTCACTGTGTAGCCCAGGATGGCCTAAAATTTATGCTGATCCTCCTGCCTCAGCCTCTTGAGTGCTGGGATTATGGGCATGCACCACCTTGTCTGGCTAATTTTAAAATTTTCAAAAGAAAAAAGATCCAGGCATGGTGGCAGATGCCTGTAATCCCAGCATTTGGGAGGCTGAGGCAGGAGGATGGTTGTGAGTGGCCGGCGTGGGCTGCAAAATGAGTTCAAAACCAGCCTGAACTGCATAGTAAGACCCTGTCTCAAAAAAAAAGACAAAAAAGACAAAAAAGAATTAAAGAAGAAATCTCCAGGCTCAGATGGTTTCATTGGAGAATTCTCTCAGATGTTTAAAAATCATTAAAATAAGTTCTACAGAATCCTTTCCAGGAAATAGAAGAACACTTTCCAATTGACTGTGAGGCTCGTATTATCCTGATAGCAAAACCAGACAAAGACAGTATAAAAAAATTGCAGGTCAATATCCTCCTTGAGGCACAAAGCTCCTTAAAATATTATCACACAAAATCCAGAAACATGTAAAGGAATTAGGAACTTGGCCCAGGGATGTAAACCTGGTTCAATATTTGAAAATCAGTCAGCACACAGGCTAGAGAAGAAAATTCACATGATTATATCAGCCGTGCAGAAAAATTCAGCACCCATGAGTGATAAAAATCAAAAACTGGAAAGTTGGGATGAAAGGGAAACTTAATGAAGAGCGTCCACAAGAAACCTGTAGCAGACATCCTCAGGTGGTAAGGATGGCTGCTCTCATCTTTTTTGTTGTTGTTTTTCTTTCCTTTCCTTTTTTTTCAATACAGTGCTGGAATTGTAGGTGCTGAGCTAAAGCAAGGAAAGGAAGTGAAAGCCATACAGATGGAGTGGAAGGAACAAAACAGTACTGTGGAAAACAGAGGCATACTTCAGTATAAATCCAACAAAACTTGTCGAAAATGCTGACCAAAGAATTTAAAAACTATACACATGAATGGAAAGACAAGGTTTCTTAGTTTGGAAGATTCAACATAGTAAAGATACCGGTTCTTTCCAAACGATGCAGAGGCTTAATTCAATTCTCAGCCAATCTTGGCTTGCTTTTTTAGTTATAGCTAGATCAGTCTAAAGTTTATGTAGAAAGGCAAATGGAATAGTAAAACATTTTGGAGAAGATGAATATGACATGAGAATCAGTCCACCTAATTTCAAAACTTGTTATATAGCTACAGTAATCAAGAGTCAGCATTTTCGACAAGTTTTGTTGGATTTATACATTGCTCGTGCTGCTTTTCCCATTTTCCACCACCTTGAACTGTTGCCCTCTACCAAAAGCCACTCTGCCTTGGAGCCAGCTGAGTATGGACTGAAACCTCCACACACTGTGAGCTAAATAAACTTTTGCTTCCTTAGTTTTGGGCATCAGGTATTTTGTCTCAGCAATGAGAGAAAAGTAACTAAGACAGTAGGACTTAAAGAAAGTTGGAATTTTTAAATAAAAATCCGGTTATTTTGTGTGTTAAGTTCCTGGAAACTCAGGACTTAGTCCAGAGGGGCTGTACCTGCTTTGGTAAGGAGGGATCTGCATTCCATGTTGCCTGAGGAAGTTAAATCTTGGTCCAAAGTCCTAGTCCACTGTCTCTTCTTATTTTAATTCTTATCAGCGTGGCTGATCACTCAGCTCTATCTCCAGCCATCCCCAGCTAGCTGCCTTACTCATTAACTAACTAAACCAACTACCTTTCACAGTCCCCGCATGCCAAAGGTAACCAGGAGAGACGCTGATGTGCTAATTAGCTCCACGCACACAACCTCCTATTGCCCGTGTCCACACGCTGTACCCTTAAATATAATAATAAGTGCCTCCGTAGTAATAGATGAATAGACTCTCACTGACGATCCAAATGGCAAATAGACAAAGACATGAAGGACATGTGTAAGGAAACCTTGCAGCAAGAACAAGCTTTAAGTAGGTAAAAACTTGAGAAAGGCGGCAGGCTCCGAAGTACCCGAAGCAGCTTTTTTCACAGAGTGGGGTTTGTAGGGCACTAAGGGCACGAGGAGGTGAAGGCCTGCTGTTCTTGGGATCCGGTATTTGAGTCTGTGGTCACTGGTCCACCTTGCGTTTGTGCAGGTTTCCTGTTCAAGAGGCCAGAGTGTTTTGTTTGATCTGGAGTGTTTTGTACAGTAAACAGATTTAATGGGCTTCACAATTACAGGACACAGAAGAGCGAAGGGAAGGATCGCCACTCATGGGCAAATGTCCACTGGCTTTTTCTTTGCACGTGTCAGTGGAGAGGAGAGGCCTTGATGATGTTCCCTGTGCTAGCAAAGGCATCACCACACACCTCTCAGAACACCCGAGATGAGCAACATGACCGGGACAAGTCCTGGGGAAGCTGCGGGAATTCAAATGTCTCCGGTGGAAATGCGATGGTATAGTTACTCTGGGAAAAGGTCAGCGGTTTGTTAGAAAAAATAAACATACAGCTATGATTGGTGCAGGGATTGGGCACTTGTCTCATGAGAAGGAAGCTGTGGGTTCACAGACCCTGCAATGACATTCACAGCTGCCCTCCTCGGATGGCCCAGAAGCCAGCTGGAGCTCCTCCGTCAAGAGCAGGCAAGGCTGTGCATCCAGGTGGGCACA